TTCCATCAAAACCATTAGCTGTTGAACCATTCACTGAATACCCACCATTAGGTAGATTCGCTGTCAGAGATATGAGACAAACTGTTGCTGTTGGTGTTATCAAATCTGTTGAAAAAGATAACAAAGATGGTAAAGTTACCAAAGCTGCTCAAAAAGCCGCTAAAAAATAAGTTGACTGATTAAAATTTACCTTTATATTTTAATTATGTTCTTATTTATATAGCTATACCAAATTTAATTTTAATGATTTTATTTGAAATTTAATTTTTATTTTGTAGAATAAGAAATCTGTTCAAATCTATCAAATTTTAAAATATAAATGTCCCTTCATGAATTAAATTATAGTAGAATTGTATTAAAGATCTGATACACATAATTATAATTTGTAAATATATCGACTTTGTATATTTATCGGTTAATAGCGGAAATTCAAGGAAAAAGAAGGTGTTATATGCTTATGTAATCCTTGAAAAAAAAATATTTCCGTCATTTCTGGATTATATTATAGTAAAATTGATCAAACTAATGTAGCACTAAGAAGAGATTACTACTAATATTTGTATAAGCACGTTAATCTATCCAATCTTAAAATTTGTTTTGGAAATTTTCGAGCTCAAACAATTTGTCAATCATAAAAATTTTATTTTTGATTTAAAATCAAATCTTTTTGAAAATTAATATTTTTAATTTTCCGAATTTTGGGAATATAAATAGATAATTTGATACTTCAAGGTTTTAGGATATCATTAATACAATAAAATAATACTGTTATAACCAAAACATATACTAAAAATCCTCATTAAAAATTCAATAATTCCCAAGGAACAGCTAATATTAATTTAAATCCGAATCAAACGGATCTCCGATCTCTCATGAAAAATTCAAAATCCAGCCATTCAGAAGATTTCAGATAACTATTAAATTTGATTAAGCCTCTACAATTCTACAATAAAGAACTTCATATACTAGAATAATCATCTTGAATATATGACTACCATAGAGGTTATGATTCTAGCCGTGTGATGAATCACACCCAATTACTAGTACTACCCAGACTTGACTCCTTGAGTCTCAGAAAATATGTGTTTAATTTTCATTACCATGAGTAATATAAGTACTGATTATGGGGTAGGTCGTGCTTTGATAAGTTGAATAATGTCCTACCAAAAACGTCTAGTCGATAAGAACTTTTAATCGTAGAGGTGTCATAATTCAAGGCTTGGTTGAGTATTCTTTACACCAGTTAACTCAAGCATTATAATTTTAATTGATCTTGATTTCTTTCGATTGTGGTTCCAAATTCCCTGTTTCAGTAATTTATAAATTCAATATAAAGTAATATAACTTCTGACGCGTAAAAATGAGGGTCTAAGGGTTGACAAGTGAAATTTGGGGATGGAAATTCAACAAACCAACAAAATTGAAATGTAAACAAACAATACTGATAGGTGATTTATCAATGACGATTGTAATTAGATAGTTCAAATTGGTTTCGTAAACATTGATTTTGAATTACTACACTCCATGAAATTATTATTATAAATTATTAACAAGCTAAGTTGTTGTGAATGTGATCATTAAATTGGAAATGAATAAACAGTATAGTATATAGTACTATATTTATGAACGTATATATTACAAAAAAGGAAACAAAGAACAATAAAATTAAAAATGGAATATAATAAACAAATTGTTTGAATATTTGAAATGAACATCAATATGTGTAGATAAATATGATTATGATTTTAATTGAGTTTATCTAATTTTTTTTTGTGGTTATAGTATGGCATGCCATAAATTTTATGATTTTTTTTGTTATTTTTTTCATTATTGGAAATAAATAAGTTTTAAACAAAAAAATGGACATAAAAATGAGAATTGAATTGTATTGTATTTGAAAATTGAATTGAAAAGGAACACCCGTCTTTGATTAAAGTCAAAGGTCAAAGGGATCTTAAATTGACCAAGGCTAAAGCAGCATCTTGTTCATTTTTTGGTAAATTGGGTATAGTAATTTCTGGTGGCGCTAAACTACTTTTGCGTAATTTCACAGCACCTATACTTTGCCAATCTTCTTCATCTGTATCAGAATCATCATGTTGTTCATTTGCACTTAAAGTAGATCTGATTGAACTATGTCTTCTTGAAGGATTTGATTTTTCAATTGATTGATAATATAATAATTCAGGTGAAGTTGGAGTTTGAGAATTTGATCTTGTAGATTTAAATTTTGGTTTTTGAATACCTCTTGAGAAACTTGATCTTGAAGATCTTGTAGCTGTATTTAATGGAGGTGAAACTAATCTTGAATTTGAACTTAGTTTTAATGGTGGAATTTGTTCTTCATCATCAAATTTGAAAACACCATTAGAAGCATCATCACCATCACCATCATAAAAATCACTAACTGAACTAGCATCATGATCTTGAGATTCATCTTCTTCTTCAATAGCTTCATCATCTGAAGATTCAATTGCATAATCATGAGCAATTGTTTGGCTTGTAATTGTTGCAGATGAAGAAGTTGAAGGTCTATTATGTTTCTTCAGGAAATTATCATGTTGATCAACTTCATATTTACCTTTTGTAATTGATTCTCTTCTTAAAGCATTATTTGTTTCACCATCTTTAACTTTTGCATTATGTATTCTAATTGAATTTCTTTCTTTAATAAAATTTTCAGGATCAACTTTTTTAGCACTCCATTGACCCCAGCCAATTTTTTCAAAAATCGTAGATTCTTCTTGGAAACCTTGATCTAAAGAGCTCATAATCAATCTTCTTTGTTTAGAAAGAGATAATTTATCAAAACCTTGGATTTGTTTAGCCAAGTTTGAAGTTATATGTCTAATTGCTAAAGGACCAGTACTTGATAATAAATGTGCCAATCTTTCAGGAGTAACCTTATTAGCGACTGCAATACCAGCTGGACTTGAAGTTGATAATTGTGTTTGATGCTTTATAGCAGATTTTCTTTCCTTTGTTGTAGTTGTTGATTTGAAATTTGGAGATGCATTATTTGAATGATTAGATATGGAAGAAGTTGATAAATTTGAATAATTTGAAAAAGGTGAAGTAGGAGCCAATGAATCTGGCGAAGTTGTTGATTTGAATGACATTGTGTTGTATATATATAGCTTATTGTTTTGTTGTTGTTGTTGTTGTGGTTGTCCAATGTTGATGGAAAAAACCTCTCGAGCCTTATCAATCTAAATCTGAGATGAATAAAACAATAGAGCGGGTCCCACTAAAAATAATGGAGCAAGACGCGTTTGAATCTCAAGTGAGCAATTGCAATTGACTTGAGAAGACTTTGTGTGATTGTATGTGAAATGTGCAGTTGAATATCCACTTTTAAATTGTTTGAATTGAAGATTGTTTATTCAAAGTGGAAAAAATGGAAAAAGTTTAGAGAAATTTGTTGTTTATAAATAAGTTTCAAAAGTGAATAATCCACAAAAGATAAATACAACTCATAATGGGACTAGACTTTCGGGTCTGAGTTCTCATGACGCGTGTTTTTTCGAGTTGTTATCGCTGGTCATCCGAACTGTGCCTAAAATTTCTACAAAAAACTAGACTAAAAATTAGGTGGCAAGGGTCTAGAAATGAGAAATGAGAACTACGAATGGGACTAGCCATATGGGCCATGAGTAAATGAACGTGCTTAATTTTATTAAAACTTTTCACTTTTTTCACTTGTTTTTGTTGTTTGGTGATGAGGTGAAGCATTTAATACTCTGTTTTAGGTAAAGTTGGGTAAAGATCTGGGTTGTTTGAGTGTGATTTAACACGTCAAGGTATGTATTAATTCCAATGGTTCGGATATTGATAACTTGGATAACACTAATATCAAAAGTACTGAAACAGCAATTGATCAGAGCTAGTGTCGTAGGTATACTAGACCATACAACCATAGATTATTAGCATAAATGAGATTGTACCAATTGAAGAGATACATGCTGGGGAATTGACGCTCTAATGCCATGGTGTAGTCCATTGGATCTTCTGGCGTATCATAATTGGTGATAATCGGATAACTCGATCCCATGTGAATTATATTATTGTGGTACTTCGAAGTTAAATTCTCTATTTATTATGTATGATGTAAAGTAATTATTACCAAGTGTATCAGTCTTTGGGTATTAAATGTTCTGATTTGTCCATTTTAAGTATCTAATTTGTTCAATATTGACAAGTTATCTAAACAAAAGGTAAATTTATACAACCCATATCTGCAAGGCCGGTCGATCTCGATTAAGTATCATAGTTGAATTTTTCATTTCAAAAACTGTGAAGAGGTTGATCAATTAAACATTGGATGAATATAATTGTACCTGATCTTCAAATTAGATTTCTACCATAAGATTTCTACCATAAGTACATACATTAGTCTATAAATAGTTTTACTAAAGTTGATTTAATTCATGTTGATCAATGTCATAATCGGTAACCATGTCATATTGATTTTAACGAAATATGTTGCAATTCACTGTGGAAGTGGAAGTCGATAAACCTGAAATAGACATAGATCTAGAACAATTTAACAGAGAAAAAGCACCATCATTCTGAAGTTGAAAAGCTAGAGTTTTAAACTGTTTCCAGATTCTTGTACGTATCTTTTCCTTATCAGATAAGTGATCATAACCAGCATCAGCTCCCAACTAAAGACTTAATTTTACAACCGAACCATATTTACAAGCCCAACTAAAATAAACTACGAATTGAAAGATCAACGGTAGCCTTAATTGTATCATATTAAGTTTTAACATGGACTAGCAGGTATCAATGTGTATGCCATTTCACGAATCGAGTAAAAGCAGCTGTGTTAATGCATTAGCAACAATAACCAGAGACTAAAGATCATTTCAGTAGTCATTCATCAGTTCAAAACTTGTATGGCAATTAAGTTGGCTAATATTAGTGATATTTCCGATTTCAATGAGTCAGATATTCAGATTCCAGACCCTACAAAGTTTTAGATAATTACGTAGTTTGTCATTGGATTGTTTCAAATTTATTTTTAGGTCATCGTTGCATTGTTAGCAATCTCATTTTTTGTATGGTAACTCCGATAAAGTTTAGTATGGAAGAATTATGGGGTAAGCCATCTTAGATTATAGGTGAAAAAGACAATAATACTTTGAAAGGTGCTGATAAATAGTAATACCATAGAGAACTAATGCCCATAATGATCACTATGTGTAATGCAGTGGCTGCTTCCACAAAGACTTGTTGAATATCAAATACTTTAGTCGTTTAGTTCGTGGCTTATAGTTGGTGGCTTATATAGTCTTGAAATTGTTCCCGCTACAGCCATAACTATTCAAGAGGACAACTATTAACATCTAATAGTATCTATGAGTCTGGTAAAGAATACTCCAATTTATCCGAGGCTCAGAAGGTTTTTCAATGATATTTCACCAGCTGATAAATTTGAAGTTAGTAAATCATCAGATGATTCAATTTCCCGATTTTAGTTCATTCATCTGTATACTAAAAGTATTATATCGATAGAGATGAGATCACGATGTACGTCAATTACAAACAAAACAGGAGTACATTTGATTTCCTTGAGGATCCAATATATAGTCGTACAAGATACTTTAAAATATATGTACTGCAACTAGTACTCTCGATACTAACTTATAAATGTAGAATTTAGTTATAACGCATCTAAAGACTTTGCATTAGCCTGAAAAGAGTCAATTACATGAGGTATACTAAGATCAAAAATTGCAATATATGAAAGATTTATAGGTACTTCAACTTTAATGAATACGATTATCAAGAGGATTTAGTGTATATAAAGTACACCAAGTAACATATTGATAAATATTTTTCCGGATTGATTGCTTTTAGCTTCTTATAAGACAAACTAAGGACCATTTCCTGTGATACTCAGCATATAAATCCCATATAGAGCTCAACTGCCTAAAATTTCAAAACTTACATCAGATTTTGGGTCATGACCAGCTAATTTTTCAGAAATATTTTCTTATCAATTACTGAATATATTTTATTTGATATTGATGTCATTTTTGGAGATTGATTATTTGGTTCATTAATGAAATCACCTTCTGCAGAGCTCATTTCAAATGATATTTGATTAACAACAAATTTTAAAGAAAAAATTGAACTCACGATGATTCTGACTTTATATTTGAAGAATTTGACGAATCAAATCAAGCTTCGAAATATAAAGCCGGAGAAAGCTGATGATTATTACCAATAAACGACTTTAAAGATGGATGATAGGGGCTCTCACCATAAACTGGGTAGCTTAGAATTAATAATATGACATTTATCTACATCTCCAACAACACCTAAAATTGGAATACTTAATACTATGTAGTTGATTTTGGGATACCTTTAATAAATGGAACACTAGGACTTCTTGTATCAGAATTAAGACGTATCAGACTCTTTACCTTGTTGATTTGATGGCATTGACAAATACCTAATCTCATCAGCATCAGAAAAATGTAAAGCTAATGAAGCTGAACCATAAGATTGTTCAAAATTGAGGATTTTCAATTCAGATGTAAGTTTATAACCTTAATTAAGTGTAAATTGCTTATGTAATTTGTCCCACATATTTTTGTGTCAAATATTCTCAACGTAATTGGAGCTCAATATTTTAATCAACTGACTAATTAGAAGGTCAATTTAGTCTTATTATTCGTGATTGTTTCTGTTTGACACCACTGACCTAATGCTCAATCATGGAGCAAGACACATCTTATCCCCTTCCTCATCACATTGAAGAAGCAATTCGCAATTTCCGCGACAACATCATAGATTGTCCCTTGGAAAGACTCGACAACAGTGGTCTTCTTTTAAAATCAAGAACTGGTGGTTCAGACTTAATTGATGTTAGAAATGATAAGGAGGTTGGAGACTGTGAGTATACTATTCCTCAGGGTTATTTTAAAGTGGTACAGCTTATACAAATACGAGGTTGTGCAGCAGCTTTATTCACAATATATAATGGCCCATAATTTCAAATATGACGTTTAATCTAACAAGAATAATTTAGTCCTGAACAGGTTGACTAGAGCATTACTTTTTAAGAAGAATCTGCTCTTATTTTTTATGAAAAAGAAGGTGATGTTCTTTATGAAGTTGTCAAAACGTCAACAGATGGCATTAGGAAAGTGGTCAGATATACAAGAAAAATTTACAAAATTTATTTATGTATGAAGAATATTATACATATATATGAACATGATGGGATGTATTACGTTGATGAAAGTCTTTCCACCCATCCCCTGCACTTCTATAAGCACTCCAGATTGATTAATTTCAACAATTTTAAAGACATCAACTGGGATAATGCAACAAATCCATTCAGAAGTCTCGAAGATTTCATTGAATCAACTTTTGCTGGGATATCAGAACATGAAGTACACGGGATGCTACTTATTCTCTCAGGATTGTTTATATACAAACACCCGCTTGCTACTAATACTAATGGTGCTATTTATGAAGTAGAAATCAGGAGAGCATTTTTAAAAAACTTTCTTAACCCTGTTATATGTTTTATGAACCATATTATGGATTTATCAGAGATAACTAGGGACAAAAAATTCACTTTTGTTGATAAAGTGCAAAAAAAGAAAAACTTGGATGCTACAAATAAAACATTTTTGGATTCAAAGGCGAAAACCAAGTATAAAGGTTATGCAGATGTCAATATAGAGTTGCAGTATGAAGATGATCCAAGGCTGGTCTTGAAAGAATTTCCCATCGAAGTCAAGAGCATCAAGTCGTCCAAAACCATACGCTCTAAAACTCCAAACCAGGTTAAGGTCGAAGATGTTGATATATATCCACCAGTTAACCGTCAGAACACATTTTATAACTTATGTGGACAAAACAAATCCTCCATGATCACAGACCTGCTAACAACAGTTTGTATAAACTATAATGATATTTCAAAAGCAAGTTATGCTATAGATATAGATAAATCAATTGGTGATCAAACTTTGGTTATTGATGACCCCGTGGATGTTCATGTTTGTGACTCATCATCTTCACACTACAATGGGATTTCTCTTCAGTTGTTACTTCTCTTGATTCTATTTGATATGATGGCTGCTCAATTATCAGATTTGAGTGTTTCAAGTATTCCAAATAGGTTCAATTTGATTAATGCGGAATCTGATGAAAACTCCAAAGAAACATTATCAAATTTATTGAAAGCAATGATGGATGATATACCTGAGGAGAATTTGGAAACATTTTTATCTGGTGGTCCTAGTATGTTTGCAAGTTTCTCAAGTAATGAATGTTTAAAAAATTTGTTTAAAGGTCAATTCAAGATGAAGTTGAAGAGTCAAGATATCGAATTAAAATCCAACAGAATCAATAGTCACATTTTGGAAATAATAATCAAGGATTCAATTACAAACAGTGATGGATCTTCTGGTGAATCTGATGAAGAGAATGCGTCATTCAACGTTATTAAAGTATTTTATATGAATGATATTGAAGAAATTCAGTGGACACTCCAAGATCTATTAGAAACTCCAAAGATGTACCAAGGTTTGCAACAGATGATATTGAAACGGCAAAATCTCAAGCTGGTATTTATCAAGAACGGTTATCAGGATTCAAAAATGAGCTTAGTGCTTTATACAAGATCTATAAGTATAATCTGAGCTCTCAAGAAGATGATAAAATCACAACACCAAAAGTTTTGAAGGCTGGTATGGCTAAATTTTTGATTGAAGATGATGAAAATAATCTCAACCCTGAAGTTATATTTGGTCCATTCTTAGTTTTGAGATATAACTCAACCCCATTATCAAGATCATCTAAACCACTGGGAAGGGAAGAGATCAAATTGTTACATAAACAAATTGATATTCTTCATAAAAAAGTTAAACTTCATCATAGGAAGTTGAATCTGAAAAATCTGTTTTGCTATAATGGTAAAGTTCATATTTCCAATTTTGATCAATCTACTAGAGTTTCTCCTGGAGGTGTTTGTTCATTTGATGGATCTGAAACTTCATCTCATGCTGGTTGCAACGATTATGAATTCATTTCTCAATTGTATGAATTTGCAAGAACCCAAGGTGATGATGTTGAAATGGAACTCTGATTAGCAAGTTCTTTCTATCTCTGATATTGCTTTATAAAATCAAATTAATACCTTTATTTATGTTTTATTAGTTGAGTTTATAACCTTCTTATATACACGCGAATTCTTTGTCAGTGCTGCTCATACCAGCTTTAAAATCATCCCCATACAAAAATAAACTTAACAAATTGTTTACCTTTTAAATTATTTGGTCCTTCAACTTCTATTTTGAAATACGTTGATTTAATCAGATTTATCAACCAAGATGATTCCATTTGAAGGGGTGCTCCCTTATGTCATCATGGGAACGGTAAGTGCATTATACTTTCGATTTGTTGATGTGAACTTTAACCTTCAACAAGAGCGAACGCCCCGCTCCTTAAGATCTTTTCATATAATTAACATATAAAGCTATTAACAGCAGGACCTGCAGCAGCTGGTTATTTCAAACTAATTGATAATAATGGACATACTCCAAGACATTCTTTGAACTATTGGGAAAATTTAATGATTGAAAGAGATTTCAGATTGACTGGGAAGTTTAGGGAACAAGTTGCTAATGATAAAGCACCTGAAGCTTTTAAAACTAATGCTTATTGGAAATTAGAAAAACCTTCTAGATGGTGGTGAATTGGGAACTATCAGATCTTAAGTTTATTTTCGATCATTATTTATTTATTATTTATTCATTAACTTATTTATTGAAACTTATTTATTAACTTATTTCAACATATTTATATTACAATGCATATGATATTGTTTACATAATAGAATGAACGACGTAGGATAAGATTGTAATAACTCAATATATTGATCATATAATGTAGATTTCTATTAGATTTCTATTTCTCTTCACAATCTTATGATGAAATATACACCATAAATAATAATTCAAACCGGTATTTAAAACATAAAACATATGTATTCTTAGATTAAAGACAAAAACATTATATACTGCACAGATAACACCATTTAATACAAAAACTATTATAGATACGAAAACTTGTAAACTCAAAGAAAAGATCAAAACTCAACAATAATACGGGTATGATAGAGCTATTCCCCTTATCATTAAAATCATTGAGGAAATGGATAATCCACAACACTTCTCAAAACTTCATAATAATCTTGAGAACCTTCAAAAAATCCTTTTAATTCAGGTGTGATATAATAATTTTGATTTGAATTATTCAAATTATTTGAAAGTGGGGTATTAATTGAATTTGAATTTGAATTTGAAGTGGTTGAAGATGATGGAGTATCAGTCTCGGAATCAACATTTTTATTAATTAATTGATCAATTGAACAGAAATTAACTTGTGAATTGGTATTATTATTATTGACACTATTATTATTATTATTATTATTATTATTATTATTATTATTATCTTGGATTGAATTTTGATTGATATTTGGCGATGTGATACTATCTGTATTTGATTCATTTGATGAAGGTCTTTTTTGATCACCAATAATTAAATTTTCACTCTTCATTTCATATAAATTTATTGAAAAAATGATTTCTGCAACTTTATTAATTTTCATATTAACAAAGAAATTTTTACC